TAATTGCAGTGGGAAACCCAGAGGCTGATAGGGGGTCCATATATCTCAGAAGAAGGTGGGGGGGGGGGGGGCGAATGGGACTGGGCACCCTGCGTCCAACCCCATGGCGTTTCCCGCACCAGGGAGCCCATGACACACATGCCAACCACCGTACCACATGCACCCCGCTGGTTGCAGGAATTGATATTCAATGTCCGTGGTTCGTGCGGGGGGCTTTCTGTGCCCCAGGCAGTCTCACCGGGATGGGGGGGGGGGACAGTGCCGGATTAAGCGAGTGCGAGGCTTGTAGCGTATGTTATAAAGGAGCCATAAATAAAATAAAAAAACACTTAAATATTAAAACACATACATGTTTTACTTGCACAGTAAAGTAATTGTATTTTTGCATTTGCTATACAGCCAGATGATACGAAAAATCGCTAACCTTAAACGCCCAGTCGTTCACAAAAGTAAAAGGCGGTATAGTACTATAGTAATAGAGCAAGTGCAGAATCACTGAAGCGGAATTGATGGCTTGAAAGCATTTAGCGCACGGCCCTTGAAAGTGCGGGGCCCGTATAACTACTACATATGTAGCAGCTACATATGTAGCAGCTACATATATAGCTGCTACATATGTAGCTATTACATATGTAGCTAATTCATATGTAGCTACTTGTGCTACTACGATAATCCTGCACTGCGGGGGGGGGGGGGTGGATGTTCCAGGGCTCCAGAAATGGAATATTGGCGTAGGTGCCAGCTGCCTGTCGCACAGCGCAGCGGTGGCGTGCCGTCAAGCGCACCGCCAAACGTGCCCGCCACGTTAGGGCGCGTGGGACGTTCAAGAGGGTTTCGACGCGCGTGGGTTGACGCCCGGCATTTGCACGGACTGCCCGATGGCCAGTCAGAGGCTGGCCGGTTTTGTTTCGAATTCTCACTCAACGCCTGTCCACCGCACCTCCGATGAGCGTGGTTGTCTACGTACGGTGCGAAAGAAGTTTAACATACATGCGTAGACTCACGCAGAGACCCATAGTTTGTTGTCCTTCCCATGCGCCACAGGCCGTAGTAAGATGAACAAGAGGAAGGGAGACACGGGGCGAGTGGAGGAGAGTGGTGCGTTCGGGAGTCGATGAAGAGGAAGTGAGACACGGGGTGAGACAGAGACACGGGGCGAGACAGAGACACGGGGCGAGACAGAGACACGGGGCGAGTGAGGTGAGTGGTGCGTTAGGGAGGCGATGAAGAGGAAGTGAGACACGGGGTGGGACAGAGACACGGGGTGAGACAGAGACACGGGGTGGGACAGAGACACGGGGTGGGACAGAGACACGGGGCGAGACAGAGACACGGGGTGGGACAGAGACACGGGGTGAGACAGAGACACGGGGCGAGTGGAGGAGAGTGGTGCGTTAGGGAGGCTATGAAGAGGAAGTGAGACACGGGGTGAGACAGAGACACAGGGGTGAGACAGAGACACGGGGTGGGACAGAGACACGGGGTGGGACAGAGACACGGGGCGAGACAGAGACACGGGGTGGGACAGAGACACGGGTGAGACAGAGACACGGGGCGAGTGAGGTGAGTGGTGCGTTAGGGAGGCGATGAAGAGGAAGTGAGACACGGGGTGAGACAAAGACACGGGGCGAGACAGAGACACGGGGCGAGTGAGGTGAGCGGTGCGTTTAAAGAGCCGATGATGAGGCTCGACAAGGGGTTTGGTGATGCTGATGATGCTGATGACAAAGAGCAGCGATGACAGCACAGGCGAGAAGACAATGCAGCGAGGGTCAGGAGGTAACCGGGTCGCATGATAATTGGACGCCGGTGATGGCGCGATTCGTGGCTAGCCCTACATTGGTGAATCAAGTGGGGATTGTGAAGAGTGGGCATTTGTTGTAAATTCTATGACTTTTTTAATTTCGCACGAAATGACGCAACTTCGAAAAGCGCGGTCAAAATGCATCGCTGGTGCTGTACGTGCACGCTTGCTTCGAGGTCTGCGTTCCCTGCCTTCGTCCAACAAGCGGTGAAGAATGGGCAATTCACTCCCGACAAGGTGGGGGGGAGGGGTAGGGGGGGCGGTGTTATTTGACCGTGCAACGCAGTGGATTGCTAAAATAAACGGCTGCGAGGCGAGTTCGCGTGTCCTTTGAGCAAAACGCCACGACTTCGGGCATCCCACAACAAACCTGCTGTGATTTTAAGTACCTCGCCTGGTATGAAGGACGTCGTCGGTTCGATCCCGACCTTGACGGGGTGGTGATGGGGGGGAGAAGATGGGGGGGTTGTAGTGGGTGGGGGGTGATGGGAGCATTTATTTTAGAGAAATGGATTTTGCTGTCCTGGTCAACTTGCTAACAAGGTAGCCCAACGGCAGCCTATAACACCTGGTATGCATGGCAGTCACCCCCATCCAGGTAACTATCCAGACTCAACCCCCCCGCCCCCCCCCCCCCCCCCATCGCTTGGCTTTCGCTATCTTATTAGATCAGCACGTTCCTGGTGATAAAGTAATGCCGCACTTACAAAAAGTGTTGCATTTTACGCGAACAATTCGTATTTCACATCAAAGCCTTGCCGGCGGGCGTGTCAATAAACGCGCTAACGGAGCCAGAGCACGTGTCCGTAGAGGTAGACCACGTGTCCAGAGAAGTTGACCACGTGTCCAGAGAAGTTGACCACGTGTCCAGAGAAGTTGACCACGTGTCCAGAGAAGTTGACCACGTGTCCAGAGAGGTGGACCACGTGTCCGGAGAAGTTGACCACGTGTCCGGAGAGGTGGGTCACGTGTCCAGAGAGTTGGACCACGTGTCCGGAGAAGTTGACCACGTGTCCGGAGAGGTGGGTCACGTGTCCAGAGAGTTGGACCACGTGTCCGGAGAAGTTGACCACGTGTCCGGAGAAGTTGACCACGTGTCCGGAAAGGTTGGCCACGTGTTCGGACAGGTTGATCACGTGGGAGCCGCTAGCCTCCACCGCCTCAACTCCACCACCACCTCCACCAAACCTCAACTCCATCACTCCGCCACCTCAACGTTAACTCTCCCTCCACCACCTCAACCACCATCACCACCACCTCAACCTCAACTACCGCACCTCCACCAACCTCAACTCCACCACCTCCACCTCGACCACCGCAACTCCACCACCTCAACTCCACCAACTCAACTCCACCACCTCAAACACCATCACTCCACCACCTCAACCACCATCACTCCACCACCTCAACTCCCACCACCGTATTGTCCTTCGCGTGCACCTCAGGTCGGCACGGTTGACCACGCACGGTGCGGACAGAGGAGGTTGAACGTGCGAGTCGCTTGCCACGATGCCGCGTGCCAAAGCAGCTTCTTCGCTCCCTGGAAGTTTTTTTTTCTTTTTGTTGTTGTCGTCTTCTTCTTTCAGTTTAGCTCCTGGACAGAAGCTCCCGGCAACGCGAGGTGTAAAACGTCGGACGTCGTGCCGAGCGATAGGCACAGCCCGTGAAAGCGCACGGCAGGGCTGGACCGCCCAGCAGCGGTCCATCTCCGCCACTGCATCATTCCGCCCAGGGGTAGCGGCGCGCCAGTGAATGTCTCGCATCGCCACTGCCCGCCCCGCACCCCCTTTAACGCAGTAGGAGGAAGAGCAAAACGACACGGACTCTCTCCCTCTCCCTGTCTCTCTCCCTCTCCCTGTCTCTCTCCCTCTCCCTGTCTCTCTCCCTCTCCCTGTCTCTCTCCCTCTCCCTGTCTCTCTCCCTCTCCCTGTCTATCTCCCTCTCCCTGTCTCTCTCCCTCTCCATGTCTCTCTCCCTGTCTCTCTCCCTCTCCCTGTCTCTCTCCCTCTCCCTGTCTCTCTCCCTCTCCCTGTCTCTCTCACTCTCCCTGTCTCTCTCCCTCTCCCCCTCTCCCTGTCTCTCTCCCTCTCCCTGTCTCTCTCCCTCTCCCTGTCTCTCTCCCTGTCTCTCTCCCTCTCCCTGTCTCTCTCCCTCTCCCTGTCTCTCTCCCTCTCCCTGTCTCTCTCCCTCTCCCTGTCTCTCCCTCTCCCTGTCTCTCTCCCTCTCCCTGTCTCTCTCCCTCTCCCTGTCTCTCTCCCTGTCTCTCTCCCTCTCCCTGTCTCTCTCCCTCTCCCTGTCTCTCTCCCTCTCCCTGTCTCTCTCCCTCTCCCTGTCTCTCTCCCTCTCCCTGTCTCTCTCTCTCACGCGAGGCCCTATCGTCGTGGACAACAGCAGACCTCGACATTGGCGGCATCGATTTCGTGAAACGCGTCCGTTACTTTTGGCTACAGCCATCGAACTTCACGGCTCAGCCATCGGACACGGCCGGCGGTGGTCGCCGCGTCGCGGGGCGCTTTCAGATGCGCTTCTGCGGCCGTCTGGAACGCTCTCTTCCTTCCGATATTAATTTTTTAAAAAGCCGAAAGCTGTGCACTTTTAAATCGTCTAGATTGACAAACTCATTGTCTTTAGAGCTCCTTGTTGTGTTTAGTTCGTTGTCCTTCCCACGCACCTCTGATGAGCGTGGTTCGCTACGTACGGTGCGAAAGAAGTTCAATGAAAAAAATAAAAATATCCCCCGCAGAGCCTTAGCAGACTTGTTGGGGCAAGTGCTGTTAGCGAGCACCTGTGAAGGCCGGAACGGTACACGCGGGGGTGGGTGGCCAGCACCACGCCCGACCGCCTTTGTCTCCCCAGTGGCGATGTTTACACATCGCACCAGGTATTGATTTGAGGATGAGTCGACCTAAGGCAGGCCCAGGACCGGTTAAAATAATCGTCGTGAACGGGAATCGAACTCGGCTCGCCTTGTTCGTAGCGCAGAGTAGCGCTAACCGCTACACCACCGCTCCCCAACGAGTACCACCCCTCCCACCCCCCCAAACACACAGACACACACACTGACACACACACACAGACACACACACACACTGACACACACACTGACACAGACACCATCGACTCAGCTGACGCGCAAGAGTGCACGAACGACGGAACGCCGCAAGCCGCGTGCACGCGCGTTGCTCGCCTCGCTCACCAGCGTGAAGGGCGTGTTGAGGGTGGTGATCATGATGTCGGCGATTGCGAGGTTCACGATGAACATGCTGGTCGCCGACTGCATCCGCTTGTTCTTGATCACCACGTGGCACACGAGCGCGTTGCCGAACAGCGAGATGACGATGATCACCGAGTAGGCGACGATGAGCAGCGCCTTGACGGTGCCGTCCTGTCGCACGGAGCTCGCGGCCAGACCCTTGAGTTTCTCGATCGAGAAGTCCGCTGCCGCTGCTGCTGCGGCCACTGCGATTTCGCCTGTGCCGTTGTTGCTGTCGGCGGAGGCCGAAGGGTCGGACGGGCCGAAGTTGGCGCCCGTGGTCAGGGCGGCGTGGGGGGGCACGGGGCCGACGCCGCCGACGGAGAACTTGGCGACGAGAGACGCGTTCCCATCGCCGCCCGCGGCAGAGCCGAGCCATGCGTGCCTCGTGTGGTAGGGCAGAGCGTGCCACAGACTGTGGAGGAATTCCACCATGGCTGGTGAAAGGGCACGAACCCGCGGGGATGGTTGCGTGTGCGTGGTGGTGGTTGTTGTTGAGATTGAAGAGGGTTGTTGTTGTTGTTGTTTGTTTGTTAGGATGACCGCAGACGGACAGAGTGAGGCTGGGGGGGGGGGGGGTGACAACGGGCAGACTGAGAGGCAAAGAGATGGAGCCGCGCCCACGTGGAGATGACGACAGGGGAGACACGCGCAGAGAGACAGGGCAGCGAAGGGAAGATGGGCAGGCCTGGTGGAAGGTAGTCACACGATCATGGGTTCAAAGGAGAAGAGGGGTAATCAAAAGCACGAATCAAAGACATGCAGTTCCCAGGTTATCGGTTTGATGGGAAATCAATTAATTCCGATGCTCGTTATTAATTCCCTGCACTCTCAATGAATGTATTAATTGATGCAATGGAGGACATGCATATGTATGCCCTGGGTAATGAGAAGTGGGAGATACATTGTACGAAGAAGGTATGAATATAGTTCTTGAAGCCTGCTCTTCAAAAGGCTTTTCGCATCAAACTAAAAATGCGACTGGATCAAGCGACAAACGGCCAATTATAATTGTGCAGTCAGAGTGACAGCGGCCGAAAGAAACCTTTAATCACAGTCAGAGAAAGATGCTGGTGACGCCCGTCGATATACAAAGGCACAAACACGTCAAGACAAGAAACGTTCAGACGCTGAGAGTATATACAGGACACAGAGACACGTAGACAGACACGGAGACAAAAACACACACACACACACACAACACGAATCCCGATGCGAGAGCGAGAGGCACGGGGAAAGATCGACAGAGAAAATGAAACAACACGGAGAGACACGGTCACACGTTAACACCTGCGCTGCTGAGACACGGATGGAGGGACGAAGCCCGCCCCCCGTCCCCCCCAGAGCTATCAGATCGACACGAATGCAGCAACACAAACACGCGCGCGCGCGCGGATGCATGCGCCGTATGGACTCAGACACCCACACACAGAGACAGACGGCACAGAGAGAGAAAGAGAGAGATCCAGACGCGGAGCCGCGCTGCGAGCGGGGCTATATAGCCACAGCGCGTCACCTTGGGGGCTGTGTGAGCCCCCCCCCCACCCCCCACGGTTGGTCAGCACGATGGGCGCTTTTAATTGGAACGGCACCGAATTACGCGCAACGGCGGAACGGGGCCGCGCAAGCAACGATCGATCCGGTGGCTTCCTCGAGAGAAGCGGTACACCTCGAGAAGGCTACCCCCACCCCACCCCCCACTTCTCTCCCAACACCCCCCCCCCCCCCGAGCGAAAGATGAGAGCCAAACCAGAACACAATAAACATGTAGCGCTCGTCAAAGCGAGCGGGAGCGGGAGCGCAAGATGAACTTTTCGCAATACGGACACGGCCGATGTGAGGATGATGATGATGATGCTGATGATGCTGATGCACGCTACGCTGGTACAGGGGACGCTGTGAATACAGCGCCGCTAGACTGCACGCTCTCCGCGCATTGCATGGAGGTGCTACGAGAGTGAGAGAGGGAGGGAGGGTGAGACGGAGGAGAGAGAGAGAAGGGGATGGGGGGGGTGAAGGATTGCAGTTGGTTTTTACATCCAAATGTGGCCGGGGTGCTGAGAATGGGTGGGGGCCGTGGGGGTGCTACAGCGAGCGGACCACGTTGCAGCGACGATTCTTGTGAGCGTTGCCACTCGGTACGGGCACGCGAATGCATGAGTCGCCTCCGCGTGTAAATACAATGACGCATTGGGGGAGCGTGGTGTAGTTAGCGCACTGATGCTACGGACCTGGCGAGACGGGCTAGATTCAACAACAACAGCGATAGTGTTTATATGAACCGGTCCTTGGGCCTCCCCTAGGTCGACTCAGCCTCAAACGAGTGCGGTGTGTAAAATTGTCGTCACCAGGGAGACAAAGGTGTCCGTGCGTGGCGGCGGGCATCCCACAATCGTGGCTGTGACGGTTCCACCTGAAGACGGAAGCTTGTGTTGCCTCCGAAACGTCGTGATTTTTATTTTATTTTTATTTTACTTTTATTCATTTAAATTTTTTACCTACGTGACTTTACCGAAAAAAACCTAAGAATATGAATCCCACCAACCGCCCCCCTTCGTGCCGGCCTTCATATGTGCTCGCTAACAATATTTTGCCCCAACGGTGCGGTAAGTCTATAAGGGGGCATCTTTGTATGCAATGGCATTTGGGAGCGGTGGTGTAGTGGTGAGATGACTGAGCTACGACCCCACCACCACAGGCGATCCCGGTTCAATTCCCCCACACGGGCCAACATTGGTGACGACAATAATCTAACGCCGGTCCCGTGTCTCCCCCTAGGTCGGCTCAGCCTAAAAACGAATACCCCGGTGGTGGTGTTGTTGTAAGAGCATCAGCATTGTAGAGACAACGGTGGCCGGGCTTGCTGCTGACTACACCACCCCTCTTCGTGCTCCCTTCCAGCACTGGCAGCAACAGTGAGGAGGAGAGAAGCCTCTTAGTCAGCGTGATGATCGCAGTCCGTCCTAGTTGGTGAATGTTGCACATTACAAAAAAAATCATCCAAATCGGCCTTTGTCAATCAACTGCGGGACCTCCGCTCTCTCTCTCTGTCTCTGCACACCAACTGATTACATCGTTCCATCTCCACGGTGTCTGAATTGTGGCTGCCACTCCACTCACCATCTGTCTCGGCAAGCAGAGGCCCTCATCCTCGTCGTCGTGATCATCATCCCGATTCAAGAGCCGAATGGCTCACAGGGCTATACCGAATAAATGAACTTGAAACAAATGAACTTGAAAACCCTTGCTGTCCACGAGCCAAACAATTGCGTCTTTGGGCTCGTAGTTTGCCGCATCTCATCCCACCCCTCCACGCTCATCTCGTGCACTTTGAAGATTTGGCATTCCCTTGTCATTCAGACGGAAGCGATCCGTACATCGGAACCTCTCGTTTAGACAACGCGCACGTCGATATGTAAATATATAACTGCATTAGATGTTGCTGTTCGTTGTCAATTTTAATTTTACAAAAGCACTCAAACTCAGCTCTCATCCCGCCTCTTTATTTATATTTATTTTTGTTATGTTATCTCAATCTGCCTATCAATAACTGTCCTAGTTACACCCCGCACGCACGCACGCACACGGTATCTGTATTGTAATAGGTTACATCACAAGCCACCGGCGGTCATCTTCTTTTGCGCTGTTGCCGCTAAAGCAAGGCCGTAGCCATAGTCAACATTGCGGAAAATTTGAAAACGAATTTCCTGCCTAGAATATTAAAAACATCACTAACACATAGGATGGACTTTTTATTTATTTTTAACAATAATGTCTAATAGTGTATTGCATTACATTACTCTGTTTCTTCTTTTTTTACCTTTTCTTGTTTCATTGTATGTAATGGCAGAGATTAGGGATTTATAAAGTACAACCATAACCACAATCACATAAACAGAAATCTATTTTAAAGCAATATATTGCGGGGGGGGGACATTTTGAGCATATTTGAATATTCTATATTATAATTACAGTCTTGCGCTAAAGCCACGTGGCACGGACGATTGTACTTAGACCTCGGTGTCTTGCCCACGGCACCACCTGCAGCAGCAAATTGGTCTCTCTGCGAGCTGAGTTGATGGCATGTGTGCGTGCGCGTGTGTGCTGGCCACCCACCCCTTCGTGTGCCGTTCCGGCCTTCATAGGTGCCACTCGCTAAGACCGCTTGCCCCAACAGTCTGTTACAGGCTACACACCGGGGGGATCTTTGTCTTTTGCGTTATTGGTGGGAGGTCGGAGAAAGGAGTTGAAAGCCGCTGCGTGTGGAGGCTGCGTGGACGTCGTGAGAGTTGGTGCGCATCGTGCGCGTGTGTGTGTTTGTGTGTGTGCGCGTGTGAATGGTTGTGTGTGTGCGCGTGTGAGTGTGTGACTTTACCGAAAGAACCAAGAAGATGAACCCCTATTCTGTATATAAAAAAACAATTGTTATCGCATGATTGAGCCACTCTTTAATTTAATAGCTAACGTGCCTGATTGTGTTACCTGACGTGTGCGGTAATTACGGGCTGATTAATCGACGTCTCGCTAATGTGCGCAGAGGTGAACGCGTCCTTGCGGTCCGTAGCGAGCGCGCGTTGTTGACAGGATCCTGCAAAAATGTGACACGCGGTGAAGTCAACTAAGTGTCGCCGCTGCTGCAGCTGCTGCTGTTGTTGTTGTTGTTCTACTTACTGTGCAAGTAACTTCCGTCATCACTCGCGTGTGAAATTGTTGCCGAGTCAGCTGGAATGAAATTGGTTCTTTGCGGTCATTAAAAATCACTCAATTATGGCCGGGGGCGTAGGGGTGGGGGTGGGCTGGGGGTGGGGGGCGGGGGGTGGGGGGCGGGGGGGGTGGAGGTAGGGGATGGGGGCGGGGGGGTAGGGGATGGGGGCGGGGGGGGTTTTGGGGTAGGGGGTGGGGGCGTGGGGGGATGGTGGCGGGGGGGTGGGGGTATGGTGGCGGGGGGGTGGGGGTAGGGGGTTTTGGGGTAGGGGGTGGGGGCGTGGGGGAATGGGGGGCGGGGGGGGGGTAGGGGGTGGGGGCGGGGGGGGTTTTGGGGGCGGGAGGGGGGGTTTGGGGTAGGGGGTGGGGGCGTGGGGGGATGGGGGCGTGGGGGGATGGGGGCGGGGGATTTTGTGGGCGGGGTGGTGGGGGTCGGGGGTGGGGGCGTGGGGAGATGGAGGGGGGTGGGGTGGGGGCGGGGGTGATGGGGGCAGGGGGGGGGTGATGTGTGTGGGTGGGGCCGTGGTGGGTGGATGCTTTTGCTATTAACTTTCTCCCGCCCCCAGTTTGAAATTACTAATTTGAGGCTGAGTCGACCTAGGGGGAGGCCCGGGTCACCGCCAACGGTGTCGTTGGCCGTGATCGGGAGTCGAACTCGGCTCACCCGTGTTCGCACCGACTCTAACTCCCTCCACGAGGCGCTCCTCCTGTTGCAGTAGAGTAGACAGCGAATACTAATTATTATCAACACGAGGAGGCGTCATGACATACAAAACCACCATCCCCTCGGTGCCCCCCGTCAGGACGGCCTCAAGAAAGCC